TAACATTCATTTAGTAAATCTGAATAAGAACTGTATTCAACAGCAACACAATCTGCATACGAACATTCTGTGAAAAGAAAGACTAAATTCCATGAATCAATAATTTGTTTCAATTGTCTTGGTTCTGTTTACTATCTTCACCATGTTTGATGAGTCTTAGCTTATTAATGTCGGACATCCTCTGTTTTAAATCTCTGTATAAGGCTCCGAGTGAACAAGGCCTGTGTTTACTTTGACTTCAAAGAGAATGAAGCATCTGCAGAAGTGTTTTCCAGACTGAGCTGTGCTTTATTAGCTCTGCTGTCATAAGTTCAGGAACAAAATATCATCACATCCAAGTTTGAGACATGAGATATATTAAATGAAGGGTCTCTTATTTTGCAAAACAATATTATTTATGTAATGTTGGTATCCTATGTAATATTGTAGTTAAATTAGCCTAATAACTATTCAATATTTTTTATTACCATTACAATGTCGGCCTGTTGATTTTTCAGTACTGAAAGAGCTGCCTGAAACATCTACTGTTTACAACATTTGTTCTAGCTAAAGAGATTTGATAGAATTTGCTAATCAACTGCAACCGCTTCCCACCCATAAAACTGATGCAAAGAAGGGAAAAAAACAGCTAGTAGGATCGAAAGACATAAACACTTTTACTTATAACTCTGTAAAGAGAAATCCCTCTCTCTCCATATGGTTTTCTCTTGGCTCTTAATCATCTTTTCATTGGCTTCCAGCTGGCTGTCTCACTATCATCTAGCAGTATCACTAGCGAGACCAACTTGTTATGCCAAAGCCAGGCACAGAAAGATGAGAGCTGCGGAGCGGAGCGATCGGATGCAGCACTCTACTAGGGGCAAATCTGGCATCTCTGACGCACGGCAGGGTCACCTCGCTTCCCTCAGCAGAGCAACCGCTGCTGCGCTCCCAAAAGACAGCAGCAGGTCTGCGTTTGCACTTTTCAGGAGTGGGAGTGAAGAACGACTACTACAATTGAAGCTACAGGGAAATTCTGCAGGCAGAAGTGTAATTACCTGAGTGGGAATTCTGGCAGAAAACCCAAACCTCTTTCGCTCCTTAAATAGAAACAAATGCTGTGCAGTCACCATGGAGAGATTACGTACAGCATTTGGATCACATGCAGCACTGAAATACAACACACACACACAAAACAGCCAGCCACAGAGCTGGTTTAGCACTGCACAACCACCAGTCAGCTCACCATTGACTACAGCCACCCCCTCAGTGACCCTTCTAGCCATCTTCTCCTTCCCAGCCTTACAAATATTAAGTTATATGTCAAAACTCAGGTGGCACATTAAAGGCCAGCTTTGCAAGCTGTTTAGCCCATCTGTGAGGTACCTAGAGCCTGACGTGGGGGACCCTGACACGGAAGCCCTGATAAATTTATCCACCACCACCCAGGTAACATTTCAAGTTGGGAATAGATGAAAACCCCAGGTAAAGAAGCATCATATGATGCCTGCCTATGAAAGGCTACTTTATTTAGCTAAGCCACCCTCCTTTGAAGTGTAGCAGTTTGCACGTGGTCTGCAGAGGCTTTGACTTCAGTTGCAAAATTTCAGTTTCATTCTGTGTCCAGCATCTCTGGTTTCTGCAGAGGCCCACTCCAGGGGCAGCCAGGCCCACCTCCTCATCTCCCTCCCTATCCATTCCCTCTGCCCATTCCACAATTCAGCTCACTTCTTGTCTTTCACCATCCACCAGCCTCCACGCTCAGCCCCAGCTGCTGCCTCCGTCTCCTGGTGTAGATCTTTCCCCTCCACTCCATCACCCACATCCCTAGCAGACAGCTTCATCCTCAGGACTGTGCAAGCATCCTGGAAAGTCACCAGAGCACAAGGGAAAATGGGCTCTTCCCTTCCTCTTCAGGCACAGTATGGGCTGCTGTCTTTCAGAGTCCTTTTGGCCTCAAACTCTCTCCCAAACAGCTATTTGTGCTCACTAATAGTCAGGACACTTCCTCTGTAGCTGCCCAGCTATTCAGTCCTATTTTCAAAGAGACATGTGGCTTCTTGGAGTCCCTGAAAAATCCACCCTGTCACTTCCTATTGTTTGAAGTCAGTAGGAATGTAGTCAGTAGGAATTTCAGACTAAAAATGTCTGAAATTTGCCTCTCTCCTTCAGATCAGCCAAGCTTTGTTTTGTTAATACTTCAGCCAGCCCCCAAGCCTTAGGAGAGTGCTTTATATCTACGTATGTGTCAGGCTGATGATACTACATGGGAATCTTTCACTTACGGAGACCAGCAAAGTGTTGCTGTGTATCAGGAATGCCATTCCACGGATAGTCCTTTTCTCACCTCTCTGCAGTAGCTCACTAATCTAGGAGCATTAATCAGAGACAGCTGATAAGGTCGTAGGCACCGAGATGTCTTGCCTCCCATTCAGTTTTCCTAATCATCCTGCAAGCCACCAAACCGCTTAAGCTCTTAGAGTTTTGAAAACAACTCTGCTCATTCTCAAATCTACATACATTTCGATTTCCTCCACATAACGCCAGCAATTATAGAAACAGCTGTTTCTGATTTTGTAGTGATTTTCTCCCCAGCATGCACATCCCTGAGACTGGCTTTTGTTTGCATTCTCACAAGACAAGGCATAAAGAGACCTGCACTTTTTTTTTCCCCTTCCCACCATTACTAGCCTTCTCATAGCTCCTCTTTCTCTCCACTTTCAATGTTGTGCTCCACACAGGCTCTGTTCCATGGGCTTCCTTAAAGGAAAATATCCTATATTTGTATTTATGAAGAATTATCCTTTATTTTTCAACCAACACCACACATCCTGGTGTCTTGACTGTACTGAAACTTGCTCATTCTTAGTTTTACAGATTGATGAAAAGCTGCTAAAATGAGAGGAAGATTTTTCTATCGCCAGCATCAGCACATTCTGCTCTTGAAAGCCTGTAGCTCCCATTGTTCAAAAACATACTGTTCACCATGTCAATTTAATCATATGCAGAAGTTATTAAAAGATCAGGCTCTAAGTGTACAAATTCTGTTGAGATCTGAGAAGGTTCTTTTCATAAATATGAATGAGGGCCAATTTCATGCCACTTGTTACATCCCGTGTACTCTCATTTCTTCAAACTATCACTTGTCTTTCTTCTATGTGCCAATAATCAATTTATAAAGCATAATCATAAAGCTTACCCAGTTTTTGATTATGCTACAGCCTATGATTTTACACTTAACCAGTTTTTTACTTCAATAACTCTCAGTTTCCATTTTATCATCTTATTTGTGTTTGAAGGAACAAATAAAAGTCGCCTTTTTGCAAGGATTAAAACGTCACCTATTATTTACTTATAAACAAGTTTTAAAACTGCACCATCACAGTAAGCATTTAATCAGAAATGCAAACAAGAAGCTCGACCTGTACGCTGCGTTCTACCATACATCAAGCAGCAATCATATTTCAGCGTTATCACATACAACCTGCAAACATCTGCTAAAGAGAAAAAATAACAACGAAAAACCCCCACACCAAAAGGTTATTTGATTTGCGTTCTGTGCGAATTCAAACTGGACACAAGAATCAGGTCCCTGTTGATTAGGGATGAAAAAAGAACAACATTTCTTGCCAGACACTTGTTTCTCAAGAGACGAGATGGATATTTGAGACTTCCTTGAAGCTCTGGGGTGCCAGCACAGGTAGGTACAGTCACACGTGTGCGCTCTGAGCTGGGTAGAGATGCTGGCTACAACCTGGAAGCCATACAGCAACCGTACTGTTGTGCTTTGCACAGTCAAACAAGGCACACTGAGGCAGGGAAGATCACTTTAGGCTGTCTGCCATACACATGAGTTTATGCAGCTTCCCAACCAGACCAGCTGAGGGTTTGGACCGGAGACAAGAGGAACACATAGGGCTGCCTGCAGCCATCCATCCAGAGTGATCTCTTAGGCTGGAGTCACTCTGTCTCAGTGTTGGGGTTCATTTGATTCTGGAAATTCACCAGCCTTACTACTTGAAAGATATTAGTCATGTAAACATCTCTGTTTCTCATATATGGAAAAGAAATTTGGCAAGTTTTACAGAAAGTTTTCCAGTCTGAATCAGGTCGAGGTCACACGCTGACATTCATTTGTTACCAGGGTCTCAGGAAGTTACAAAATAATAATTCCTTTTAGGTATTAATAATTACTTCAGGTTTTTCAATCTTTCCATTTCATACAGAGAGCCTGTTTCATGTGAGTATTTGTGGAAAAAAAATTATTTCTTTAACTATAACAGCTGGTGATCTCAGCATAAGTGAACCAAGACACGATCTTCAACTGACAACACTGCCTTAACATTTCTCTGCTATCTTTTGCAACAACCTCTTGGAAGTATAAACCACAGCTGCTTTTTTTATTTTTTAAATCTCTTACAGACATCTACTTCTAAGGATATGAACAAACTCAAAAACAGCAATCAAGAAATTGTACAGCGATATCAAAAAAACACTTAAAACTTTTTCCCCTAGTCGTAGCCTGTCCCTATTGCCTGACTATGTCTCCTCCCATCTAAAAGCTTGTCTTGCTGCTTGGAATTTCAAATTCAGCACTCATCTTTTCAAATTGCTTATGGTGCTGAAGAATACTTAAGAAATCCAACCAGAGACTAAAAATGTGTGAGTATTTTACATGACAGTATCTTGTTCATCTAAAAAAAAAAAAAAAAAGAAGAAAGAAAAAGGAAAAAAGCCTGGAGATCCTCAAGTGTCTTTGCTTGAGTTCCCATAGAAGGTTCACTAACCCCCTGAATGACCTGTAGAGATCTGCTGTGCTCAGACCAACATCCCAAGCTGATCAGGAGAAACACATTCCCTCTCAACTTCAGATGAGGGTGCCTGGACAAAGATGATGACGTCTGTATGCCAGGGATGTAAGAAGAAAGCCTTCTGTGGTGTTATTTATTGTAGCAACAGGCCCTGGCAACAGTTAGGCTCCATGGTGATAACGACTAACCAAGCTCCCAGGAAGAGACTAGGGCATTCCTACTCCCTGGACTTGCAGCAAGAAGCAGATGGTCACAGTTTCACCATGGGCTGCAATATTTCTAACAGGGTCGCTGACGCACAGCTGTCTTCTGAGGAGCTACAGAACAACCAGGAAGCCAAAAGCCAGGTAGTGATTTCTTCCAAAAGTATGTTAGGAGATATCTTAGATGTCCATACCAGCATACAAGGGCATATACATACAGAGAAGTGGTTTTGCTGATGTTAATGGTAGCTCTGAATCGGTCAGGGAGCTCTTTAGGAGAAGTGCTATCACTCACTCAGCTTGATACAACCCCTGTGCTCAGGGGAAACAAACTCACCATTTGGCCACACGCGTGACCTGATTTTACAGAACCTGAAAAGTGGCTTTTTACAGTCTGTCTCTCTTGCCTCATTAAAGATACGATTAGAGGCACTTGTCTCCCACATCGGTGATGAATTACAACACTGCAGCAAGGTGGCGTTTTCCTCAAAAAGTTATGAGGCAGGAGGCTTGTGTTTATGCAAATATTATAGGATAAACACGTGTGGCCACTTTGTGAAGTTTGCAGAGTTGAGTTGGCTCAAGCCCAAACATAAAGAAGAGACAAGAATACTTCTAGACTTTGATCCTTCATTCTTTGGAGGTTCAAAGCTATTGTTTAGAAGATGCACAGGTTAACACCTTATCAAGTGCTAATTTAAAACTCAGTTTTAAATTTCTAACCAATGATGCACATGCAGAAGGCATTTTAAGTACTGAAAAAAACACTCCAATACAGCCTACAGGATTATGGACACACTTCAATTTAAGGCCATTGCTTCATTTCCAAAATGCTCAGAGACCTTTCCTCACCATCAACATCCACCTGTGACAGAACAGAGATAAGTATGAGGAACACCTCTGTCTTCCACTCCCCTCTGAACCTGCTAATTCTATGGGCTATTCTAGATACCACTCAAAGTGTTTAGGAGCCCAGGGAGCTTTTCTCATTTGTTTCTTCATTTTCTTGTAGACTAAAAATGACAGCATTGCTGGAACAGAGGCTGTCCCCTCACAGGATGGGGCAGCTGGGCCAACAGGCACTTCAAAGGATGGAGACAAACTTGAAAATGAGACCAGTGAAGCAGACTCCCCTGAGGAGCTACCAGGAAGATTTATATCTTCTCAGAAGAGCAGCAACGCACAAAGCACAGGTGAACTGTAGCTGAAGTTCATACTAGCTCCACAAATGGACACCTACAAGCAAATAACCTTGGGAATCTATTGCTACAGCCAACTTCCATACCCAGAAACGTTCATGCTGCAACACCACAAGGACTGAGCTCTTAGCACTGGTTTAAAACCAAGCGATAGTAGCAGAAAGTATTTCCTGCAGCATGACTCAACCCTCACTACCAGAGCAGGCAGCAGGGTAGATACTTTTCTTGGCAGATGCCTGCAACAGATCAAAGGAACAAACTCAGCCTTGTCCCCAGGGGCAGCCCTTCTCTAACTGAGATTATGGCACACTGGGAAGAGGTATTGCCTACACCAGGGCTGCCAGTCTGCCCTTACGACGAGTCAGTTTTTACAACAGAACGGTCATCAGGTAGAGACAGTGAATAAATACCATGTTATTTTGCAAGTTTGCAGTCAAAAGCTGCAGGGCCAGTTATCATACAGCAAAAGCTATAAAAATTCCAGAAATCATCATAGAGATAAGCAAAGGTCTGCTAAGAATTTCTAAATTTTTTTTAAGTACAAGTGAATACTTAACCCCAAACTTTTCTATAATCATAGGATACCATTATAGTAAGAGTTACAAATGGAAAAGCAGCACCATCTTTGGCACATTTAACCCCCCTAATTTTGTAGTTTAATTCTCGTATTTTTCAAGTGCCACGAACAGCTTACATTTCACAAACACACTAAATGGAAAATCTACAGTAGTTGTTTACTCTTTGTAATAAACAAGGGTTGTAATAAAATATTTCAAATTGAACACAAAAGGAATAATTACTGGTGTTTGCTATTAATTAAAGAGGACTTAACTCCCAATGCCACAGAAGGACGTGATGAAAGGATTCCATTTCAGATTGAACAAAATGATCTGCTTGATCTGAAATAAAGTGTTTCATTTAATTTCAAGCTCCTTTTCCTCCTACTTGCCAAAAAACATAGCTTCACAGGAAACTTCTAAACAGAACAATTTTAAAATCATGCTTCAATCTTCTGTTTCAAGACCAAAAAGAAACCCATACCATACTAAGACATTTAAACTGCATTTTTCTCCTCAATGAATAGATTAGTAAAACCAATACAAATTCGCATCACTTGTCAACATTGCCCACTCATCATACTTTCATTTTTTGCCAGGATATGTTTTGCTGTGTACTGGCTTCTAGCATTTACATGTGCTGACTGACAGCTGAATCCCAGTGCTTTTTGTGTGACCGGTTCAGTTATTTTAGGAGAGGTACAGAGTCAGCTTCTACAAGATGGTATATATTCTGTATTTTTGTTTTATGACTTAAAAATAAGCCAACATTGTCATACCCACTCTGCTTATAAAGACTGGCAGATGTCAGATAACTGCGAGTTTGATTTGGTCCAAGCATTCTTCATACAAGAGCTCTAACTTCTGCCAATAGAGGTTGGGCAGATGGTAGAACTGTCAACTGAGGGCTGAAAAACCTGATGGGTCTTGGCAATGAAGTTGTTCGTTGTTTATTCATGTCTAATATGCGGAGACTAAACAGCCACTCAGAAGGGTTATCAAAACAATTTGGTTTTTATTCTTAATTGCTATTTATAAGTATATAATTGTTAGAGTGCTTATGATCAGACTCAAATGTAGCAATGCTGTTATAGCAAAAATCATAGACCACGAAAGCATATGAAAGTTTGGGTTCATTGAACAGAAGAGCACAGTGATTTTTACAAACAGGCCTACTAATAATAGGCTGAGACTATCCCATCCCAGCCTGGATTTCTCCACGACCCTTGAGAACCTGAACTGTGAAGAGCTCCCTGTGGACCCGTTTTGTGAACATGCTCAAAAATTGGTTTCACAGGCCTTTAGCACACACTTCCATGCCTTCCTGAATGTGCCCCTCTGGGTGCAACTGACTACAGTGAGAAACTGAAGTAGGTACCTGCACCTGTTTTCAAGCCATTGAAAAGCTTATTACAAAGTTTAAGCAGTGAAGAGAGCTTTGATCGGCCCTTTTTCACTGGACGTTCTCAGTATGTAACCTCTTAAATAAGAACTCTAGCATTGGAAATACATCACGGAGTTTTGTTTGAATGCCAACTGCCCTACAAGTATTAAGTTTTAATGTTTTCATCTTTTGAAGATGCACTGCTCGCCAGCGAGTTCATCAGTAAATCATGGCCCTCACAGAAAACAGAGAGGCAAAAACCATCAGACATTCTAGAGGAGTTGAGAATGCAAGGAATAATCAAGAGCCAAAGTACCATTGCCAGGACTGGAGAAGTGTATGAAAACAAGGTAAGTGTCATTATATGAGACAGGATCCCTGCTACAGCTCTCACCCTGCTGTGAACACCCTGAGATTCAGTTTCTGCACCCACAAAGCATCCAGGCGTACCTACTCTAAGACTTCAGAAGCAAGTTGTTAAAAGACAGAACTGTATTATGGAGGTGTTAATAGAACAGAAGCTGGCAGCAGTTTTCAGGTGTTCACAGCTTCTGGGCTTGTTTAAAATGGGGACAAAGGAGACAGTGACAGTACTAAGAACTTGCTCTTTGAAAAACTCACCGGAAGTTACATGCCACTAAGTTGTTTCTCAAGTCTATGAAAGTAGAAGAAATACTGCTGTCAGGGCTTACAATTACACTTAAATTAAGGCCTCAGAAGTCCTAAATAATCACACTTCTGAGAAATCTACAATTCACAATTGATCTCAGACTAAGAAACATTACAAACTAGATTTTAAGAAAAATTATAGAGCTCATATTTGAGTAAGAAGCCAGCGTCCCTTTTTTCATTCTGAATGGTAACCTGAGGTTTATTTTGGCTCCTGAACTCAAGCTTATTCCTTGTTGTCAAGCATTGCATTAAGGATCAGATGCCTCTCCCACATAGGGTTTCAAATAGAGATATCAAGAGGAAGAAGGTCTTCAGGGAGTTTGGAAGGAGGTCAGCACATATGTGCAAAGCATGATCCCACCTCTGCTTGGACACGAGGAACAATTAAAGCTTAAACCAAGGATGATTTTGAGTAGCTTTGTCATTTGAGGCAAGCCACTCACAAGCCTCTAACCTTGGCCACTTATAATATTGAAGATCAAACAGAAACTTTCATAAGGACTAAATAAGCAAGTGCCACCATACAGTCTGGCCACTGGGGCTGCCTAGCACATCTCCTATTGCCAGCACTTGGGAAAATGGTGCTGGAGGGTCTCCAAGTACAGCATATCTGTAACCTTTACTTACTTCCCAAGGTCAGATTCTTTTTGAGTGTCTGAGACGATTACTCCCTCTTTGGCTAAATTTAGGGAACATACTGCAGGTAGGTTTTTGTACTCTCCTCCTCCCCCCTTATGAAGATAGGTATCTGTTCTATTTTCCCCTCCTATATTAAAAAGTTGTCTGGTATTAAATTACACATTCTTTTATTGACAGAAATTCAGTCTGTGCTATTTCTCTTTAGAGAATTTCTGTTCTTCCAACAGGAGGATAGAAAGAGCTGCTTTTTTTTTTCCCCTTAAAAATCAGTACAGCGTTTAAAAACGAGCCTTGTACTTTTTGCTAACAAAGCCAACTTTTCCAAGTGATATTTTGCATTTGAGCTGGGCCTACTGCTGGGCAACCTACAAGTGAAAACATAAATCTGTCACTAGCTGTTAACTATTAGCTCTCCCTTAGTAGCAATAGAATATTTGGCCTTTGCTACCTCCTGTAAGAATAATTTATTACATTAGAGCTCAAATCCAGCAGATTACTTACGCACTGAACACAGATGCAGTAGAAAAGGTTTATTACCCAGACATATTCCAAATTACAACGTGCAGCTCTGGATTTTGAGCATTAATATACAGGTAAAGTCACACCTGAATTTTTGAAATTGACCAAGAATAAGCATTAACAGCTTCATGCTGAGATTCAGTCCACCACTACCTTCAATGGAAAAATGAGCTCACGGACCTCACCACTATGAAAGACTAGTACAACCAGGTTTGAGATTATTTTTTACAATAATATTGGAGATAGTGATATCCTTGCAAGAGCTTGCCCTTCCTGTGCATAGTTCTGCTCCATGTAAGTATCTGCATCCCTGAACCCTTGGCAGCATTACCTGTCTTCCCAGGATCTCCTGCCATTGCCAACACTGTGCAACACCTAAGCTAGAAGCCTTCAGTCTTTTGACCATCCCTCACTTCATCCTGAGGAAGGAACTTCAAACAATACAGGTTAAGATACCTTGTTATACCTGTTCCTAAGCATTACTGCTCTAAAGGAGCAATGCTTTTGAGAGCAACATTTTATGGGTCGAGTGTAAGGAAGAGCCATACAGGCCACTGCAAGCCAGCCTCTACAAATTTAACCATGGCTTTTACTAAAAAAGCCAGCAGATCCAGAGTTTCCACCCAAGACAGAGGTATCTAGGATTCTTTGCATGATTATGTTTCAGCATTTGGCAGGGAAGGGGGGGACAGGAAGTAACTGCTCTTTTTCCCCCTCCAGTGTTTCAAAAATATTCTAGCTGATGTCAAAGGTGAAAAAGTTTAATCCTCACCCCTAAAGAGTTACATTAAACTCTTAACAAACACCCTTACTCCCAAGAAGCAGCAGGAGTTGAATTATAGGCAGCACTGAGCACTTTAGTCTGTTAGTGCACAAGCAGCTGTAGTTTCAAACAGAGCAGTGCATGGGAATTTGCTCCATTTATCATGGGTTACCATTTACAAGGGATGCACAGAGGTTACTATTTTAGCATTTCCACTGCTTTTAGTTTTTTGTGTGAGTTTCTTGAAGCTTTGAGGACTCTTGATCTCCCCAAACTGTTTAGCCCCAAGCTAAGTTTTTCTCTGCTTATATAAACACAGAACAATCTGGAAAGCAACCTGCTTGCTGAGGTTGCTTGCTAGAGGCTCCAAGGACAGGATACTGCTGGAGAGGGTACAGCACAGGGCTACAAAGATGATTAGGGGACTAGAACATCTCTCTTATGAGGAAAGGTTGAAGGACTTGGGTCTTTTTAGTCTGGAGGAGGGGGGAGCAGAGGGGCGGATCTGATCAATGCTTATAAATACTTAAAGAGTGGGTGTCAAAAGGATGGGACCAGCCTTTTTTGAGTAGTACCCAGTGATAGGACAAGAGGTAATGGGCACAAACTCAAACATAAGAAGTTCCCTCTATACATGAAGAGGAACTTCTTTACTTTGAGGGTGGCAGAGCACTGGAAGAGGCTGCCCAGAGAGGCTGTGGAGTCGCCGTCTCTGGAGACATTCAAAAGCCTCCTGGACACGTTCCTGTGTGTCTGCTCTAGGAGGACCTGCTTTGGCAGCGGGGTTGGACTAGATGATCTCCAGACGTCCCTTCCAACCCCGTATCATTCTGTTAAAGCCTGTTTAGTTTGGACATACTGGGAAGAATTTTCCATTCATCTCTTCCTATGCAGTCCATAGTTTATCTTGTGTAAGGAATGACACACTCAGTCATACCTTCCCACTTTGGGCTTTTGCTAGAATGGCCTTTGTCATTAGAAAGAAGAGTTTCTTTCTTTTTGCCTTCTGAAAGAGTCTTTTGTTTCATTTTTATGATGATTGAACATTCCTTTGTTCAGATTTTTTGTGTGTCATCTGTATTCAAAACGTCCCCTTTGTATATCAGTTTTCTTCCTACTGAATCATGCTCCACCTTCATCTCACTGAGTGAGTCATACTCTATACTATTTGCAGCACTTCACACTTCTGGCAGCGAGGCCTGACTTCTAGAGTTATTTATGGCAATAGAAGTCTGGAGAGCAGACAACTTGGGAAACTTGTAACAGGATAGTGATTATTTCAACTACAGGTCCTTAGTTTGGGTTTCACACTGCTAAAACTCCTTATCATACAGAAAATAGTAGAATTCAGCCTCCTGGCTGATCAAATAATCCCCACACCTTTCCAGGAGTAAGCGTTACCCTCAGCAGCAGAGCTCTAGGATTGGGCTGCACTGGACTGCTCATTTGTATGCAGCAGCGGCCAGCAGTACCATGATTACAAAGCTCTAACAAAACCATTCTTAAGTCTCTTCAGCAGTAATAAAGTAACTTCCCTAAATACTTAGGCCCTCATTACCAAATCCCCACATCTGCTGGGTGTACAGCAACATTGGGAGCTTCACAGACACATCACTCAGCAGAAAAATGTAATTCTCACTGCAGACAACACTCATTCATGAGTGAGCACCGAGGTTATTAGCCCATCATTATTTCTATGCTTTCATTGCTCTCACAGTCCATCACTTCCATACATAAAAAAAAAAAAGCAGAAGGCAAGAAGCAAAGTGTCACCCCAACATCAAAATATACTCTGCTGAAAGCTTTTAATGTTTCTACAGAGAGATGCCCTGGAAAAGACACAGAAGAAGCCACCAGCTAGGCTGGAAAAAATTCAGTTTGGAAACACGGAAGTGGGTGATTTTACAGTGAAGGACATGAAGACTTCTGCTGAAGCAAAAAACCAGGTCATCTAATTCCGCTGTGTATTTTTCCACCGCTTGCTTCATCACATAAAACCCTCTACTTTTTACAAATCAAGATAACAGACAGTTTACGTACAACCTACTAGCAAAACCTGATTAGCAGCAGCACAGGGGGTCCTATATTCATCTCATAAATGCTGGAAGTCCACGTTTATTTTTGTTGAAAGCCTGGAAGATTGCTCTAAAAATACACATACGAGAAGAAACTTCTGGAGCAGTCTTTGTTTTCTTATAGCACAAGATGCATCTTCCACAGACACCAGAATAAATTGACTAAATTCAGCTCTAACTGGAGTAACATTCTGATCACATCTAGGTAGAAAGATAGAAAGAACTGCTGCAAGTGTTTGGCACATACCTACTTCCAGCCTTCATTACAAAGCAGTGGGGTTTTTTTGTTACAAGTTAGGGAAGTGGAACCGAAGAAAATGCCACAATTAATCACATTTTTATCAGCAACTCCCCACCAAACTACAGGTAATGAGACTGAAAAGGACTGCCCAAGTTCTGAAAGTCAAGAAGGTACAGACACCCCTCAGCCCTCACATTTTGATGGTCAGCCTGGGATACTGCCGAAGGAGATAGCTGCAGTAGAAGCCACAAACAATTATACAGAGGACTCTGTCATTGAGTCTGACAACTTATATGTTCATCAATAAAAAAAGTTGGATCTAAGCTGTCTTGCAAAAATGAAGAACAGCTCTGCTCTCTGCAGCTGTTTTACTTGGGGGCACAAGTAAATTATTTATCATGGGGCACAGCTGAGTCTTGCTGTTAACCTCTCACACCTGCAGAGATGGTGTCTAATTTTAATTGTTATACACTAATTGAAAGTAGCAAAACAGATGAGAAGAGCCAGGAAGACACAAATTAGTAACCAGCCAGTCACTAAGTGTGAGCATATACACATTTATATGATTCTATCAAATTTACTTTTTTTATTGTTCTATTATTAAATTTGGCTCACTTTTTGGATGGCTCCATAAAAAGATTTCCCTTCCCTAGGGAGAAGGAGGTTGAGAAAGACATGATATAGAAAGACATACAAAGGCACAAAAGCAGGAGTGTACAGAGAAAAAGTTGACTAGCAGGGACTTGGGGTAGAACATGGTGGGACCCTAAAAAGTAAGAACAAGGACTTTTAACTTACTATACGCAGCAACGGGCAAATAGGTGAGAGCTTCAGATAGTAAGGTGACAGCAGGCCCCAAGAACACGTGTTTGACAAGCATTGAGCATACAAGGGAAGGACAGAACAAATACTGAAACTGCAACAGAGAAAACAATTATCTGAGATACATAAAGCACAGGGGGGTTGCCCACGAGGAAGAAGATGTTTCTGTTACAGAGCGGTCAGTCTTTTGACTTTGGAATCCCCTACCTCCAAAGCACACACAACATTTACTAAAGCCAGCTCTTCCAAAAGCAACAAGTAAAGCAATTGTGCAGTTCATGCTCTCCCCATTATCAGCCCTGCCACTCTGTTCTGGTCCATCACTAAACACGTCCATGCCCACTTCCATTGGGGCCACAGGCTCTACCCACTTCTCTCCCTGATCAATCCTGCACCATGCTCACCCCTGCTCCCACCCCAGCATTTTACTTTCTTACCTTCAGCTACAGGTGACACATTCTTCTTTTCCACCTTCCAAAACAAATAAATTCAGCTGCATCACAGGACCACTCCTCTCTTAAATCACAGATCAGACACTAAAGAACAGACAAAAAGGTAGTCCCTATTTTTACAGTCTCAAAGTAGTTCTCCCTGTCACTCTAAGGAAGAAAAAAATCTTTCCTGCTACCTCTTCTCTTGCCAGACTTGTACTAAATCACTAAGGGGAGGAGCAAGAGCTCATCTCATTTTCTGAGCAGCTGGGATCCCACCTGAGGTAAGGCAGTTCATCAGAAAGAGCCTATTCTTTCAGCTGAGCTACAGGCATGGCAAAATCGGCAGGTTTTATGACAAAACTCTATTAACAACACAGAAGGAAACCTGAAAATCACCCTATGTTGCCCAGAAAGAACAGTAGAAAAACAGGAAAAAGAGAAAAACAAAAATTAGGAAACAGAGAAACTTTACTCAGCTGGTTCAGAATCATCTAACAATCAGACAGATAGGAGAAGTTAGAGATCTGAGGGTACATTCTCACCACACAGTTAACCCAGGTTTTTCACTGAAGATGTTCTCTTAGATATTTTAGGCTAAGGTTACCTGGCCAGGCTTGGAATAAAAACTGGTGTATGTATACATATATATATATCTCTATACAGACTGTTACACAAAGTTAGAGTGATTTGCCTCCCCTTGCAGTGAAGTTACTCAAGTGCTAATAGTTTCCCAGTGCCTTCCCATAGTTTCTGAAGGACAAACGATGGTCTGTCCACAGCCAATGCCATTTCTTCCACTATTTCCTGGGTGAGGATCTTAGCTCCCTGCAGCATCAAAGCCCAATAAGCCCTTGTGATACAGGGAGAGAAGCACAGCATCAGGAAAGATGCCTTTTTGTAACAGGACCACTCATGTGCTCCTGCCTGGCTCATCTGCGTGTCAGACATGATTGCTTGTCTCTCAAGTCAACTATGCAGCAAAGATACCCTGAAAAAAGCAACAAGAAACAAGAAGGATTTTGCAGGTGTCATAATAAGGTGACTAACAGCCGTCTACTTAGAAAAACTTCCTAGAATCAAAAGATTCGAGATGAAGCTGTGGCACAGTGTAGTTCAAGTGGTGGGATGAGAATGTCTTGCTTGTCAGCTTTACTTGGGGAGGGCACAGACCTGTTTCAGAAGTGAAACACTCAGTTCTCCCTCTTGAGCTCATCTGAGAGTTTAAGGCTAGGACAGGCGCCTTTTCCACATCCACCTCATGGGACAGGGTGGGTATGAAAGGTAGGTAGCCTGGTGTATGATTTGTCAAGGGGTTGTTGTGTGGTCTGGCTGACACCATTAGACCAGCGGGAATAACATTCTGAGTCTTTCTAGGATGCTTGTTGGAAGAGGCTGAACACTGTGTCCAAGCAGTGGAAGGCAATCTCGGAAAAAATGCATGGATTTCTCCTTATACAGAATTCACAACAACTTTAATTATTGCCTCTGTTAGGAAGACCAGCTGAAACCCACAATTTCATACTTTTTGGCACAGTAAGTTTCTGAGCCTTTTCCTGCAATAAAAGATGCAAACTCCTGGTTGGGCACAGTTTAAATCTTTTCTGAACTTGGAAATAATTTAAAAACAAAGATCAAATCTCTCTGTTGAGTAAACTAATGTTTGTATTACTAATAAGAGAAGCAGTTAAAGTCTGCCTTACTGAATTGTGTATTTGTCTGAACACTGATCCAACTCCCATTGAAAACTAACCATGTCTTTCCGTTACCTTCAGTGGATGTTGGACTTGTCTCTTGATGCGTAAGAGAATAGCTAAGCGGAGAGAACAAAGCTACATTTCTGAGCAAAGGAACAGTCTGCTGTTCCATCTGAGTTCAAAGGAACAGGATGTTGTGAATATTCCTGTGTATAAAATTACATTGAGATATAGCTGACAACTGCAGGGCTCCTAGCCGTGGCTAACTGCTTGCACACACACAAAAAAAGCAGGGCAGCAAGTAGGTGCCAGGTGTCTGCTTTTAAAATATCTTCAAGTATTTCAAGTTCTCCTGTGTGACTGCTGGGTCTCTTACCAAAGACCTTGGTGCACAGTTCAGCAGTGCCCACGACAAAGCACCGCTGACTTGTGTCACTGCCACATTTGCACTAATCCCCGTCCCTTGACAGATCTGGAGAAGGCAGCAGGTAGGCAGTAGGAGCCCACAGCACCATAGCAACTGTGCAAGGGAGCACCAGTCTCCCTGTCAGCACGGATCCCTCTCTGCTAGTCTTGAATGCGGGGAGAGAGACACACAAGTCTAAGCAAGGGTGACTTGAGCAAAGATGCTTTTTCTCCCATGCTAGGGCAGGGATAGAAAACGAGGCAGAAGTATCTAAATATCTCCATAGGCCAGGCCAGTCAGGGTTTGCCCTCCTCAGACACTTAAAACCATCACAGACCTATTCCCATAGGAGTGATTTGCCTGAATTTGCTCCCTTGAGCTTCACCAGAGGGCAGCCACCTACTGAAAGTGAACTCCAACTGGCTGAGCAACTGGGTGAACAGAGCCAGAGCTACGGGCATCTGAGCACGACAAGCATTGGGATGACTAGAGCTCAGGTTATGTGCAAGCTGAATGGTTCATACCCTTGGCATTCAGGGACTTCTCAATCTCTGCCCTAAACCCCTCAGAGAGGCAATGAGTTTGAAGCCATTACCCCTTGTCCTATGGCTACATGCCCTTCTAAAAAGCCCCTCTCCAGCTTTGCTCTAGGCCCCCTTCAGATACAGGAAAGCTGCTATAAGGTCTCTGCAGAGTCTTCTCTTCTCCAGGTCACAGAATCACAGAATCACAGAATCTTCTAGGTTGGAAGGGACCTTAAAGATCATCTTGTCCAACCGTCAACCTAACTGACAAACATAGACACCCACACAACAAACAAGGAGCATCATCACTAAACCATATCTCCCAGTGCTACATCAACCCGTCTTTTGAACACCTCCAGGGATGGTGCCTCAACCACCTCCCTGGGCAGCCCATTCCAATGGCTGATAACCCTTTCAGTGAAAAAATTTTTCCTAATATCCAGCCTGAACCTCCCCTGGCGCAACTTGAGGCCATTTCCTCTTGTCCTGTCGCCTGTGACTTGAGAAAAGAGACCGACCCCCCCCTCTCTACACCCTCCTTTCAGGCAGTTGTAGAGAGCAATAAGGTCTCCCCTCAGCCTCCTCTTCTCCAGGCTGAATAACCCCAGTTCCCTCAGCCTCTCCTCATAAGACTTATTCTCCAGCCCCCTCACCATCTTTGTCGCCCTTCTCTGGACCCGCTCCAGCACCTCGATGTCTTTTTTATGGTAGGGGGCCCAAAACTGGACACAGTACTCAAGGTGAGGCCTCACCAGTGCCGAGTAAAGGGTGATGATCCCCTCTTGGGCCCTACTCGCCACGCTGTTCCTGATACAGGCCAGGTCGAACAACTACGACTCTCTCAGCCTGTCTTTATAGGAGCTGTGGTCCAGCCCT